GAATTCATTTCAATACAAGCTAGATGGGGCTTCTCTTAAATCCGGAGGAGGGGGAGGGGTCTTATAATTGGATGCGAATTTTTGTTTACAAGCAGATGGGGCTATAACGGGGGGGGGGGAAAGTTTATAAGAAGGGGAGAGAGGGGGAGCTTTTAAGCGGCAGTTTACGGTATTTTCAAAAACAAAAAGAATTATAATTATTAGAGCAGTTACCAAATTGCCCATGAATTTGGTAAAGGGCGCGGCATAAAATGAATCAATTCTATCCCAAATGGTCATGTCTTTAGATCGCATTATAACTTCCATGGCGTTATCATCGTGAAGCTCTGAAATGAAAATGAAAACAAAGTCATCTTGGAAAAACCAACAGAGGAGAGTGGAGCAGAAGAGTTACACACCTTTCATAGCAATATTAAAAGTATTAACAGTATTTTTTCTAGGTTAACAAGAATACAGTTGAGAATTGAAAACAAAAGGGATGTTTTGCAACAAGTGGAAACGAACGCCTATCGCAGAGCAAGCACCAACTGAGGCTCAAGACATCATAAAAATTGACCACGTGTAAGTAGTTGCTGTTCTAAAGGTGAAAAAGGATCTCTTATACATACGTTAGCGTTTCCCGAGGGGAACGAAAGGGGCCTGTTCTAGCATCAAAGAAACCTTTTACCCAAAATAATACCAACCCTCGTTTCCACGGCGTTTTTAAGAAAATTTGAATTCGACAAAAACGAAATCTTTGGGAAAGAAGTTTAGACAGTTTGTGCTGGATTTCTTCGGACCTGGCTCGCTCACCTGGAATATAGTCCACGACATCTTCAGTATCAGAGCCTACATGAGATTCCTCGTCAGTAACAGCGTTTCCATTACCGGTTTCAATCTTCTGAAGTTCAACTCCTCCTCCTCCTCCTCCCTCAGCTCGTTCCCGCCCGGTCCCTATACCCTCTTGACTTCCTCTCCCCACGTTTCTTATACTCTTACTGGTCAAACTCTTTTGCGAGCGTCGCGCGGCTGCCTCGCGTTCGTGATGTTCGTCAGGAACAAAATAAATTAGTGGAAAAATGAGAAATGGGATAAAAGTGCAGATGATGATCTAGAAGAAATAAAAGAAACAGCCGTTAAAGGTTTTTTTTAATAGTGGAAAGTGCACTTAGTCCACTTAGGTTATTCGGCTAGTTTACAGGCACTCAACTCAAAACTTGGAAACAAACAACTCAAATCTAACACAACAGGATTAAAAACCCTAAACTAGCAGGAGGCAACCATTTGGCTCAGGATTTGAACTTGGGACGACCAAGAACAAATCCAGCTAGTGGCAAGAGCGGAACTCGAACCCTGGACCGCCTGAATGCGAGTCCGACGCGCTGCTCCCTGATAAAATGATATCTTCTCCATAGTCATGGAATGCTTAATTAAATCTGTAATCATACACTCGCGACGGTGGAGCCGTCAAATACTTTAACTTGGAAAACATGCATGCATCGATCTTTCCTTTAAAGTAGAAACTACAACAAAAATATATATGCCATAACGATTACTCGCTTTCAACATTCTTTGTTTCACCTCCACGAACCTCAATATTCTAGGAATCAGCAAATGCTAGATTTGATTCTTTTCACATCAAATGTTAAGAGAGTCAAATTTCTGAAACTTCCTTTTTCCGAGAAATTATTTTCGCGATGAAGATATGGCTTCTTATGTTAAAAAAAATGTCTCTAAATGTATTAAACGAAGTTGTGTTGCTCGTGAAAAAGTATTTATCATTAACGATACAGCCCAAAGTACCATACAATAGACAAAATTTGGTATTGAGCTAAATACAGCTTGCAATCAATGCTGGGCGATACAATTGACATTTGACAGTTCAGTTTGATAAGATTCGTCCACATGAATACCGTTTGCAAGTTAGTCACGATTTAATATAACAGAATCGAAAATATTCAATTTTTTTACACCTTCCACATTTGTTTAGAGTGTAACTTCATTCAAACTTATTCGATTTAAGTCTAATGGCTTACTTGCTAGCTCGTGGTACCCTCTGATCCAAACCCCTTTTAACCTCACCTTATCCCCAAAGGTAGGTACAGTTTTCTCACAATTTATTATTACGATCTCGTGGCCAAGGCGTCCAATCTTCGAGCCAAAGTTGTGTAGTTGTGTAGTACATTACAGCAAATACCCACCCATTCATCCCTACCGAACGACAACGCCCTACTCCTGTACCTTACCTCATCCCAACCCTACCCCTATGGGACTATCAAAGGCAATTCTCACCACCGTATGTCCATGTTCATGGTATCCATCCAGCGTTGGGCGAGTAACATGTGGCATCTACTCACCCACCCCCTCTTAATCCTACAGAGTTCCAATCACATTTCCCACCTCACACCCACCCTAACCATCAGGGATTACAAAGTACAATTCTCTTACCTTCCACCACCTTGTGTTCATGGCCATGGTTCCCATCCAGAGTCGGGTGAGTAATTCTTGACAGCTGACATGCGCAATAAAGTTCTGATCCTCGGCCATCACGGCCAGATCGAGCGCTGTTAGATGACCAAATGATTCCAGTTCCTTCACCAGCAGGGTCTGTGACAGAGTTTCGTTTTCTTCGTAGCACTCCTGTAGAACGCCAATTGCGTCCTGTTCAAATTCACTACAAGGTTGAGACAATAGGAGAGTTTTATTCATAGGGTTAACCTCTAGACTCTCCCTTTCAAATTTATGTAGTTATATATGAGTTTGAATAAACATGTATGTTATGTTATGTTATGTTATGTTATGTTATGTTATGTTATGTTATGACTCTGCATGAATCAAATTAGATCTTTGGTGAGCATGCATTGAATGTTGCTAGGATACAGTTTCTAACCCAGGCCTAATATCCGTACGCATGCGCTTGGTACAGCGGTCTCAGTTATGACCAGCGGTTTATCAATAAACGATGCCCGCACACAGAAAACCAGTTTGACGAGAGAAAACAAGAAGATCCGGCTTCGTTGACTTCAAGGGTTTGACGCCATTCAGGCAGTCTTCTTTTTCTTCCTCACTCAAGAATAAGACAAGATTAAAGAGGGGTTATTTTGACATTTGGAGACACGCTTTTGTGGCCGTTGCCGTTGTAGAGAGGTTTAAACAAGAGTTAAAGTATGGACTGTCCGCCGGGACAAAAAACAGAGGCCTTGGTGGATAGGTAGCCAGCTGTATAGAACAGTAGTTACAATGGCAAAACACGGTCGAAACGTCGGATCAAGGACGAAGTGACTTTTTTAAGGCAAACGATAAACGAGTTTACCACACTAAGTAAGAACACTTACAGTGGCAGTCCGTCTATGACGCGGTAAGGACCCATGTGACTCGCGCGGTTCACGCGATGTTCCTCGTCAAGCCTGTTGTACGCCAGCGGCGGTCGCACTGAGGGTATCCTGAAAAAAAAAACGTCATCAGAGAATTTTTCTAAAAAATAGAATATATTCAGCCAGATAACGAGGATATTACCCTACAAAGTCGCTAGACTGCGAGCAGTCCGTCTTTTCTCTTAAAATCCGTCGAGTTCTCAGACATGGTGCGTTTTGGCACAGAGAACGCTTTACGCCAAAAAGGGACTGAGGCGAGACGTTTCTTCCGTCTCGGGCTTACGCCCTCGTTTCTCGCGGCTCGCGGCTCGCGGCTTCGCCGCTTGCCGCTCGTGCGTCCTACCCCAGCGACTTTGAAGAAAATAAGAGACTGCTCGCAGTCTATAAAGTCACCGAAAATTTACAGACGTTGGTATGGTGGCGGCAAGTTCGTGCCCGACAACATACAAACGTCTGTAAAATTTCGCGACTTTGTGCAGCAATATCTTCGCTAGACTGCGAGCAGTCTCTCTTTTTCATCCGGTTAAGTAAGGGGAGTGCACGCGCAAAACGTCTCCCACCATCAGTCACGCGCGTGGCCCTTTGCGTGTCTCGCGTTTTGCTCGACGGACTACAGAAAAAAGAGAGACTACCCGTAGTCTATATCAAGGTATCACCCTTGAACGTGGTACGTTCCCTCACTTTAGGGCGCTCGTTTCAGCGGTGTCAATGTATATTCGCTGACTGGTCAAAACTTGAAAAAAATAATCGTGGAAGAGTGTTATAAGATATGAATTAACAGGTTCATTTACAGTTGCCATAAGCATTTTACAGACTTACATGTTCATTAAATCAGTGTCAGCCCATGGAGGCTTTTTCAACACCACAGGAGCAGTGTAGTTTACAGGATCGTACTCTGGAAATTCTACCTGGTAGTACACAAAATGAAAAATGAATCAATTAAGTGTAATGTCAAATTAACACCACCTTCCACGACCACGCTTTATGACTCGGACAAAAGTCCTGTCATTTTGTCATTCGAAAACCTCTTTAAACGAGCTGTGTCACGAAATTTATCGTAATTCTGACAGTAGGAGCTGCAAACAAATTGAATACAAAATAATCGCTCAAAACGATAAAGAAGGTATAAACAACAAAGCACAGAAAAGAGAAGGCAAGGATGGACAAACTTGAAGAAGATTAACCGCAATAAAATTGTGAGGTTTTGAAAAACTGCTAGCCTAACAGTTTTTTTTAAGTTCATTTTTGTTGGTTGAAACGTTTGATATAAGGCTTAGGAAGTAACTTTGTTGGACAAGAAGCTGTGATTTTATCATTTACAAGTAATTTCTTCGTTAATGTTAGGTTCCACGGCACATAAGAAAGCGTAATTGGCAATAATAACACACTGAACTAGATAGCAGTGACACTGCAGCCCCTTTAACATCTGGGAGATCAATAATTTTTTGCTCTTTTTTCCCCATGCCATTGCATGTCTCCCGCCCTTTTCCCGCTTGGCTAAAGAAAAGAGATACTACAGCTACGCAGGTTTAACTCTGCCAAGAAACAGATTAAAAGTATTTACTACGAACAGGAAAGACGCATTAGAAGTGGTCCTTTCTCCGCTCATTAATAGCGGCAACTCTCCTCGGACAAATATTCACTTACTTCCCAGGGCACGTTTTCATCCGGGACCGGGAATCTCTTCGCGGCGCATTGTGGGTAGGGTGTTGCTCGCGCCTTGTGATGAACAAATGCTGGTGCCACTGGCCGCAAATCAAGAATGTTTGCAGGCGCAGTCTCTGAAAAAGACAAAACATAAATTTACCAAATAAGGGCTTCTGAGGGAGAAAAGCAAACGGATGATGACAACGAAGGTTGCCTTCCATCACTACTAGGGTTCAGAAATCTCTCGAAGTATTTAAAACAACAAGAAGTATTGTTATAAGCGTTTCGAGTCTCCCGAGCGAAACAAAATCAACAACAACAACAAAAAACAAGTCTAAGTGCTCAGAATTAAAGGAAAACTAATTGAATACCCCCAAAAGAAGAAATACCTTTCAAAAGAGAACGTCGAAAATATGGATAAAAGCAATAACACATTTTTAACAAGTTGCCTATTCTCTAAAAATATAGAGTGCTGCTTTGAAAAGTCGTTTATGTAATTCAAGCNCCATTGCATGTCTCCCGCCCTTTTCCCGCTTGGCTAAAGAAAAGAGATACTACAGCTACGCAGGTTTAACTCTGCCAAGAAACAGATTAAAAGTATTTACTACGAACAGGAAAGACGCATTAGAAGTGGTCCTTTCTCCGCTCATTAATAGCGGCAACTCTCCTCGGACAAATATTCACTTACTTCCCAGGGCACGTTTTCATCCGGGACCGGGAATCTCTTCGCGGCGCATTGTGGGTAGGGTGTTGCTCGCGCCTTGTGATGAACAAATGCTGGTGCCACTGGCCGCAAATCAAGAATGTTTGCAGGCGCAGTCTCTGAAAAAGACAAAACATAAATTTACCAAATAAGGGCTTCTGAGGGAGAAAAGCAAACGGATGATGACAACGAAGGTTGCCTTCCATCACTACTAGGGTTCAGAAATCTCTCGAAGTATTTAAAACAACAAGAAGTATTGTTATAAGCGTTTCGAGTCTCCCGAGCGAAACAAAATCAACAACAACAACAAAAAACAAGTCTAAGTGCTCAGAATTAAAGGAAAACTAATTGAATACCCCCAAAAGAAGAAATACCTTTCAAAAGAGAACGTCGAAAATATGGATAAAAGCAATAACACATTTTTAACAAGTTGCCTATTCTCTAAAAATATAGAGTGCTGCTTTGAAAAGTCGTTTATGTAATTCAAGCCAACGATGCGTACAAATTTGGTTTGAGATTTGTATTCAATTTCACCCTCGCAGTCCACGGCTTTGAAACTAAAATGGCGAAGGAACACGATGTCGCCATTCGTGCAGCCACAAGGAATCTGACGAGGAAATTTTGAAACATCGGATAACCCAACCTAAATCCCAAACGACATTTGTGTTTACTTACCCACGGGATTCGAAGACGTATTTTCAACCTGCACAAAGTAAGAAAAACAAGTTACTAAAATATTGTATCTAGGCGGAGCGCCAGTGACTGTCCCTGAAATTATTTTCTGTTACCATTATAAGTATTTTTCTTAAGTGCTCATAAGTCTAAAAAAATTCAAGCAATTCCTACTGAACTACAACTTTTATAGCTAAAAGTGAAGTCAGTGCTGGGAACCAAACGAAAGACATTTGACCCCGCTCACCCCGGTGAGAATTCATCTCACCACGTCTGGATTAGATATCCACACGCTCTCACATATTTAGTTAAAAAGTATGAGAGGGGTATTAAAGAAGGGGAAACATTATTGAAGTTGACACTATTATTTTTAAGTTATAAAAAACTTAAATAGAAGTTCTGTAGTGAGGGGTCGAACTAAATATCTTCGGGCCCAAAACAATGTCTTTGGCAGTCACAGCGCTCAATTTCTCAATGATCAACATAATCCAATAAAGCTTTCATGGCGCTTCGATTCTCACTTCACTCATAAACCAACGCCTTTTCGCTACGCTGCCCAGTAGCTATACTGGCAACCAAAGTCTATATTCCCTACCCTCTGATTATGAAGCAAATCAACCATGGTCTTGACAGTTTCAAATATGGAGGCAACGTTTTCTTCCATTCGTGCCAGTCTCCTCTCTAATCCTCCCACGTCACGTGTCGGCGGTCGCCACTCATAAGTTGGTTGCTGGGAAGTTGCTGGTGTGGTAGGAGATCCCTCGGCGTCTTCAGCGCTTGTAGTATCCAGGACACACTCCATCAAGCGACCAAGCTTAGCTGTCGCATCATCTAGCCTAATGATCAAAGGTAACTATACGGTTTCTCTCGCGATAGACTGCACAAGGGCTTATTATTTCTCGTTTTTCGGGCGAACGAAGCACGAAGCTGGCGTGGAGCACGAGACACATGCGATCGGGGTCTCGCGCTCCTCGCTCGCTTCGCGCCTGCCTTCGCTTGCCTGAACAACGCGAAAAACCTGTTCTGCAGGCTTCTTTCGTAAAGATCTGGTAGAAATTTGCGCGCCCACGCAGTCAGAATGGCGTGTGTTACGTTCAGTGCATAAAACTGAATTTCAGGAATTTCTACCATCACCCGGGCCGGGTAGTCCCCTCATTTTTTCTAGGTGCCGTTGGCTAAAAAAAGAGCTCCTGGTAAAATCAACTAAGTTCTCCCTGAAAAACCACTTTTCAGGCATGACAATCTCTCATTTTGGATCTTCTGGAATTTTGATACCATTAAATAGCGAGACATTCCTGAAAGGCATATAATGACACATTTCTGCCACTACCTACCTATTTATTTATTCATTTACTTGTTTATTTGTTTATTTATTATTCTTTGATGCAGAAACCAACTCAAAAACCCCTGTAAAGTAGTGACAGTAGTCAGTGCCAGTGTAACCAATGTACTTTCAAAAGGAGGGGGAATTACGGGCCATTAAATCAACAAATATTATTTAATTTTTTTTTATTTTCAGGTTTGTTGAATAAGGTTAATACCTGTCTCCTAAAGTGCAGACTCGTTTTTCCATAGTGTTATTTTCCTCCGCTTTTTTCGTATGCATGTAATACTCCGCACCTTGGAACTCCCAGTTCATCAACTGCTCTTGCTCATAATCAGTAAGTGCGATTTCTGAAAAGAAGAGGAAAATTCTATCAGATTCATATCAGTAACATAACCCTTCAATACGAGAAATTCGGTCCAGCGCTATATAAATTCGTAAAGCGTACTTTTGCGAGAGTTCTGAACACAAGATCAAATGTGTTTCACGGTGAACTTCAGCGTTATCCTTTACGACAAACAACCGTTCAAGCGTTGTGAATATTTAGCAGGACGCTGTTTTCACTAGATCGTAAAGTTCTACGCTTCTGACCGACTTCGACTTCGGCGTCAGTGAAAACCAGCCTTTAGGATGAATTTACGGATAAAATTTAGGTTTCTGGGAAACTGACAACCTACCCCTCCCCTAACACAACATTTTGCCCCAGGTGAGATTGAGTTAAGGGAGGGGTAGGTGGGTAGTTTCCCAGAAACACAAATAACAACTTACTCATCGAGCTGCCAGAAGGTGGATTGCCACATCGACACAGCTGCCAGATCCATCGTACAAAAAGCAGGATATGAGAGATGAAGATTAACGGTGGAAAAAACAGAGGTCTGCCGTGATATTCAGCGATCAGTTCGTAACGCTGAAACTTCCACACTTTATCTGAGTCTTCTTGAACCCGCTCAAAAGTATAACTAGAAAGTAAAGAAATATTCAGAGTTGGTAATCATGTCCACTCGGACTTTCCCCTCCCTGTATTTTCTTTTTTGTCATTTTTCACTAAACCACCAGGCACACGTAGAAGTGGAGGAAAAGGGGTTACGTTCGAAAGAGCCGAAACGGTGGACGAAAGACGCCAAGACGACCATGGCAGTAGTTGATGCAACTTTTGCAGAAAAGGATTCCTGAAAAACACATTTACTTCTTTGTCCCACAGTTCTTGTATACGATTTCCATATATCCATCATTTCCTCGTGGCTGAACGCTCTGTGTTTAAGAAGGCCTCAAAGCTCAGGCATTGTCGTATTCCTTTGTCACTGTCTAATCAATGTAAATGTAATTGCATTATGTGTGTTTTTAATTATTTATCTATTTTATGTTTTATTTATTTAGCTTCGCCTAACTAGAATACAATCTTTATACATGAATACATAAAAACTATTAGGCGGGGAGACCACTACAGCATACCAATTACAGTGGATCCCTCGTTAATAATAATAAAAAAATCGTTAAATTAAACAACTGAAACTGTGACACGCCTCTGATCACGTGAGTTGCGTCAATGTCATTTTATAATTTGGCAGTTTTCACTAAATTATGTGCATAAGAGGGAAATAATAATTACCTGAAAATGGCAATAAGAAGATTAAGAAGAAGAACATTTGTGAACAACATGTATCCAGCCAGAAGAGCTGGAGATAGCCACTGTGCAGTAGGATGGACTTCAGCATACTCAATGGGCTTCTGACCTAAAATAAGACAAACAGAACATCACGAAAATTTAGCCTCAGAAAGCTGAGGACATTTGGCGACGCACAGATCTGGGCTTATATCTGGCGACGCCCAGATATGGGTAGGGCTTCTGATTGGTTGAAGCATTTTTTTGTTTTTGTTTGTTTGTTTTTTCTTGTTGTTTGTGTGCGTGTCTATATCTTTATTTAACACATATGTAAATATTTTTCTCCGCAGGGCCAGCCACTTAGCACGACTAGCATTTGCTATTTCAAAGTGGGTGTGCTCCTTATCTTGCTAACTGTCAACACGTAATTTAAACTCTTTTTTTCTCCACACTATACTAATAAATATTGCTTGTTGCAGTTGTTGTTGTTGTTAAACAACCTTCAATAAAGGAATTCTAGGATACTAGCACTACCCACCGCGTGCCCCTCTCGCCTTCCCCCACCCCCCGACCGGCAACACCAAGGACAGTTACCTGATATTTCCTCGAGGAAAAGCTCGCCATACATTTGCCAGTAAGGTAAGTCTACTATTCCTCGTAAGACTTCCCAGAAGCCCCTTTGAAACTTTCCGGGACCT